GCTTTGAGGCTGTTGGGGTTGCGGATCATCTTGTCCAGCGTGTTGACGATCTGGCCGAACTTGGGCGGGTGGTTGCGGTCCTTCTGCCAGCAGTCCAGCATGAGCTGGTGCAGGGCGCTCGGGCAGTCCATGGGCGGCGGCAGCCGTTAGTCCTGCTCGATGGCGTTGATTACCTGGGGACGGTGTAGGAGTAGAGTGAGGCGGGGTGGATGGGCTGATAGCCTCCGCCCTCTACCAGGTCCACGTTGCCCCCAGTGCAGCCCAGGGCAGGCTTGAAGGATTTGGTTGCCATGGCAACCATCTGCCGCCTGGAGGCAGCCCCAGGGATGGGGCTGACCTGGGTGCCCACCGTCCATAGCCTCAAACTGACCTGGCAGCTGGGTTGCTGCCTCACCCTCTGCCAATGTTGGGAAACCTATGCCCTGTGACAGGTGCCCACTGGGCTGACCCTCCTGTGCTAGGCTCCACCAGTTCCTCTCTCCTTCCCACCTGTGAGCTCCCTCCTGGCTCTTATGGCCCTGATGACTCCTCTCTCTGGCCCCTTGCTGACCCCAACTGGCCGAGTCCTCAACTTCAGTGTCATTTACAGCACCAGGGATGAGATTCCTCCCCTGTCAGGTTCCACCATGTGGCCTTGAGCCTGGCTGGTGCCTCTTCCCACCATTCCCACTCGCTTCTCTGGCAGAGAAAGGAGCTGGAACGCCTCTGTCCAGTCGGTCCTGCCACCATGACCAGGTTTATCTTTCACAACTCAACTCTGGGTCATCCTTCCTGGTCAAGAAGCTTCTTCAAGTCCCTTCTGTCTGCATTTTTTTTTTTTAGTTGGAGTCTCACTCTGCTGCCCAGGCTGAAGTGCAGTAGCATGCTCATGGCCATTGCAGCCTTGACCTACTGGGCTCAGGCGATCCTTCTGCCTCAGCCTTCCAAGTAGCTGGAACTACAGGTGTGCGCTACCACGCCTGGTTAATATTTGATTTTTTGTAGAGATGAGGTCTCACCAAGTTGCCTGAGCTGGTCTCAAACCCACAGATTCAGGCAATCCACATGCCTCGGCCTCCCAAAGTGCTGGGATGACAGGCTGAGCCACCAAGCCTAGCATGTCTGCATTTTTGCTAACGGAAACCCCTTGGGTGATTTTGAAACACTCTCCAACACCACCCCTCACCTCTGGGTCTTTGCATGGGTTGCTCTTTTCCACTGGGAGCCCTCAAGTCTCTAACACCTACAACCGCTTGAGCCCCACCTGTCCAGCAAACACTTCCAGGCTGATCTTGCCCCTTCTGCCCATGCCTCAATGCCTTCAGGGCATGGTCCCTGCCTTCTCCCATTTAGTACCAGGTCATCAAATTTCCCGAGAGCTACATCTGGCTTGCTGAAGCATCTGTACCCCCAGGGAGGTAGTAAACACCTGAAGGGCAGACATGGTCTCATTCAGGGCTGGCCACAAGGTGCAGGCATGCTGGAGATTTGCTGGGTGGCCTTCCCTATGCCCCACCCCCTGGAGAGACCAGGGTCTGTGAGGACATTTGAATCCGCCACCAAAGGGCTGGGGGCTGCCCTGATAGCCAAGCCCGCCATCTTCATGCCCTAAGAGAACGAGGCCAGGACCCCCGATCCTCCCCTCCCCTGCCTGGCTGCCAGAGGGCTCTGCCTACCCCTTGGAGACTTACGTCCTGGTTGGTCATGTCCCAGTAGGGCCGCTCCCCGTAGGACATGACCTCCCACATGACGATACCGTAGCTCCACACATCGCTGGCCGAGGTGAATTTCCGGTACTGGATGGCTTCTGGGGCCGTCCAACGTATTGGGATCTTCCCTCCCTAGGGGCAGAGGGCTCATGGGTGAGAGACTAGCCTATGTGGCCTCTTCCCTCAACACTCCCCATCCTGTGCCCCGTCCCAACTCACTATGCTGCTGGACCACTGGCATTTGCACATGCTGCCTCCTCTGTGTGAAGTGCCTTGTCCTACTCTGCCATCTGGACAGCTCCTTCTCATCCTTCAGTCCCTCTGAAAGCTGCTCCCCAGCTTCCAAAGAGCTGCTCCCCCGCTCCCCTTAGTCCTGCAGCAGTGCCTTCCATCTTCCCCTGGGGGAGCCCGGCTCCCACAGCGCACACCTCTGCTTGCCTGCTCACTGGCTCGCTTGCACTGGTCTCTGAGCCCTTTGAGGGCAGGGACTGAGTCTTAGTCCTTTCAGTTTAAAACCCTTCAGCCACCCTAGCTGCTTTCAGGAGAGTCCCAGCTTGGATATTCAAGGCCCCCACGACCTGGCGCCGCCTACCTCGCCAGCATCACTGGTCACCCCCTTCCTCCCAACAGCCTGTCTTCCAGTCACAGGACCTCGCCTGAGAACATGGCGTCTGACAGACTTTTCCCAGTCCTTCAGCTCCCAGCTCATGTCATCCCCTCTGGCAAGCCTTCCTCTGCTTCCCAAGGCTGGCTGTCCTGGCTCACAGCCCTGTCACTCTGTACTGCTCTGCACATCTGTCCCCCATCAGCCTGCGAGTTCCCAGAGGACAGAAACCATGGTCTATGTCTCTCTCTGTCTCCAGGGCCCAGCACAGTGCTTGGCATGAGCAGGCATCGGTGAAAGCACATTGCGGAGAGAGACGGACATTCATGTCCTCTTCTCAGATGCTGTGACTCCCATGTTCCCTGCCTCCGTCTTACCAGGGCGCTGGTGTAGGTGGGGTCTGAGGTATCGTCCTCCAGAAAGCGTGAGAGCCCGAAGTCAGACACCTTGCAGACCAGGTTGCTGTTGACAAGGATGTTTCGGGCGGCCAGGTCCCGGTGTACATAGTTCATGTCTGCCAGGTACTTCATGCCGGCCGCGATGCCCCGGAGCATGCCCACCAGTTGGATGACTGTGAACTGCCCATCATTTTGCTTTGGGAGGCGTGGAGAAAGCAGAGTCAATGAAGGAGCAGGTGCCAGAGCTCTGGGTCCTCCTCACAGCAGAAAACCAGAGCAGGGCTATGCCACCCTGGCCCTGGGTGCCCCCGGAGAAGGACTCAGATCCCCAGGGCCCTTGGAGAGGCCCATGAGAGGCCAACTTCATGGTGCTGGAGAAGGCACAGGCTTTGAAACAGACACACCTGGTTGACTCTGGCTCTGTCCCCTCCTGGCTGTGCAAACTTGGACATGTGACCTAACTTCTCTGAATGCCTGCTTCCTCATTTCTGTGTCAAACAGGGCTACGTAACCCCTACCTCCCAGGGTTGTACAGAGTTAAAGAAGGTGCATGGAAGGTGCCTGGCACACAGAAGGTGCTTCACAGATATTTGCTGAATTGCAGTTAGTCCAGTGGCCTGCTTCTGATGCCCAGTCCAGGGCCTTTGTCTAACTGGTTGACTGTGGGGGGACCTTGAAACTCTCTTCTGTTGGCCTTGTGCTCTGAACTTCTCCCCTTAGCCTATACAGCTCTGGGGAGCTCCAAGGTGTGGTGAAAACTCTGGATGTGGGGTCAAGACACCTGTCCAATCTGGGCTCCCACCTTGACCCTCTGGGTGACCCCGGGCAAGCCCTACTTCTCTTTGAGCCCATTTTCTCCTGGGCATAATGAAAAGGTTGGCTGTGAGCATGGGCGGAAATAACTGTGATCGACTGTTCGTGGCTTCCTGGGGAACCATATTGAGAAGGATTCTGAGATTGTTTCTGGGCTCAGTGGGAAGAGTGCTGGGATTGATTAGCAATGCCTGCCATGGGTGGGACCAGAAACTGACAGTCTGCAAGCCACTCCTGACTTAGAGCTTTTCCAAGACCCCTCCAGGCTCTGACAGTATAAAGCTATGTCCGTCATTCCTTCTCCCCACCCCCTCTCGGGCCCCTCTCAGCTTTCCTACCCGGAGGAAGGAGTCCAGGGAGCCGTTCTCCATGAACTCGGTGATGATCATCACAGGCGTGCTTTTGGTGACGACACCCTCCAAGTGAATGACGTTGGGGTGGTCGAACTGGCCCATGATGGAGGCCTCGCTCAGGAAGTCCCTGCGCTGCTTCTCAGTGTAGCCCGACTTGAGTGTCTTGATGGCCACAAAGATCTCTCTCTTGCCTGGCAGCTTCAGGTGGCCACTGCAGACCTCGCCAAACTCCCCTGGGACAGATACATCGAGAGAGGCAAGATGTCACTTGCCAGGTGGATGTGCCACCTCCCCATCCCCTGTCACTTCCACTCCTGGGGCCTGCAGGTGCTCTTCATCCTCAGTGGTCAGTGCATCCTCACAGACACTGAACCCCTTTGAGAATGTCCTAGCCCCGCAAGGAGTACAGGGGACACTCTTCATGGTTGCCCCACGGTGTCTGCCTGGGGATGGGGGTGAGGATCTGGGGGACCTGGGGAGATGGGGAGGGGCCCCTGGACGAATGGTGGAAAGACAGAAAAGCACGGAGTTCCAGAGCCAGCTCAATCTCTGACAACTCCCTGCCTCAGTTTCCCCTGCTGTCGGTGCAGTGGTTTTACTGGATGACCTTTGAGGGCTCGTCTTCCATGGGCATTCTGAACCTTCAGAGCCTGGAGGATCCTTTGAGGCCCCCTCCCACTTTTTTTTTTTTTGAGTTGGAGTCTCACTCCATCGCCCAGACTGGAGTGCAGTGGTTGCTCCCGGCCACCGCAACCTCGACCTGCTGGGCTCCAGTGATCCTTCCGCCTCAGCCTTCCAAGTAGCTGGAACTACAGGCGTGCGCTACCATGCCCGGCTAATTTTTGATTTATTGTAGAGATGAGGCCTCGCCAAGTTGCCCAGGCAGGTCACAAACCCGCGGGCTGAGGCAATCCACTCACCTCAGCCTCCCAAAGGCGCAGGATTACAGGCTGAGCCACCGAGCCCGGCCCCGTCCCACTTTTTACCCTTTACCCCAAGAGTACACATGGGGATGGTCTCTCCACCACTGGTGGAGGCCACGGTACCTGTGAAGGTGCCAGCCACTCACCTGCTCCAATCACCTGCTCAATTTTAACACAGGAGATGTCAATTTCCTTGGCAAACTCCCGCACTGCCTCATTGGGGTCCTCATAGGTGAAGGGGTCGATGTAGATTTTCATGCCTGGGGTCACTGGGGGACAAGACCAGCCCTGGTCACATGAACTGATTCAAGATGCACAGTTGGAAAAGCAGGACCCAGCCCCTCCATGGAGGGAAACCCACTCCCATGCGGCCCCCATAAGAGCTGGGCAATCCCCGGCATGTTGCTTGGTCTTTCTGTGCCTCGTGGGGCAGATGGCCATGAACTGAGTAGAAGCGGAAGGGGAACAGAGACCAGCAGGGGTGGCGAATAGGGGCCAGCTCTTGTTTCAACTATGTGATGAGAGTGGCTTTCTGGGGTCGAGAGACTGTCAGGGTGGAGAAGCAATGTCTGCTATGGATGTGGGCATAGGAGGACAAAAGGATGGATGGGTTTTCCGCCCTCGTGACAAGATCGTGGGGTGCAGAGGAGGGGAAGAGGAAGGCAATGAGGGAGAGAGAATTGGTGCTAACAGAAAGAGCAGGCAACCGATCCGCCATGTCTCTCCAGGCCTAGTTCACGCCTCCTCTCCTCACAGGAGCCCCTCTTGGCTGCTGGCCCTCCCAAGGCTTGCTCCCCAGGGTCTGCATACCCAAGGCTCATGGGCCTACCTCCCAGGTCCCCCGCTAGCCAAGTCTTCACCCTTTCTGGATCCCCAATTCCCTGGTGATCAGCATGAGGCTAGATGCAGAGCATATTAGTTTGATTCCTGACCCGGTGTGGGTTTCTCTTTCTTTTTTTGAGGCAGGGCCTCACTCTGTCACTTAGGCTGGAGTGCAGTGGCACGATCATGGCTCACCGCAGCCTCGACCTCCTGGGCTCAGGCGATTCTCCTGCCTCAGGCTCCCGAGTCGCTGGACTATAGGCATGCACCACCACGCCTGGCTACTTTTTTGACTTTTTGTTAAGATGAGATCTTGCCATGTTGCCCAGGCTGGTCTTGAACTTCTGGGCTCAAGTGATCCTCCCACTTTGACCTTCCAAAGTGCTGGGATTACAAGTAGGAGTCACCATGCCTGGCCAGATTTTTTTTTTTTGATGCAGAAAAAGAAAGTCACTTAGAGGTCCAAGATACAATTCTGACCTAGCACTGAGTCAGCAAAATGCTTTGAAGGAAGGGAAAAATCACCCATCTGCAGTCTCCCTCCCACACAGATAGCTGGTCTCCTACGGCCCAGACCGTCTGGCCCTCTCATAGCCCAGGCCTTTCTCCAGTTTCTCCTGCTCTCTGTTCACGTTCTCTCACTGCTCCAGGAGCTGTGGCTCTGGGGGCATCAACTCTGGGGGCAGCAGCTCTAGAAGCTGGGAGCTGGAATCCCTGGGTCACTGTAGCCTTGGCTGTTTGGTGAGCAGGGTCATCAGTGCTGCTCAGCTGTGTGACCTTGGACATGTTAGTTGACCACTCTTAGCCTCTATTTCAGACATTCCAGGCATCTAGGAGTTGGAGCCTCTAACACAGGGGTTGGCAGATTGGCCCACTGCCTGTTTTATACATAGTAAAGTTTTATTGGAACACTGCCATGCTAAGCAGCAGAGTTGAGTAGTTACAACAGAGACCCACAAAGTCTGAGATATTCACTACCTTTCTCTGACAGAAAAGTGTGCCAACCGTTGCTCTGACACGTTAGCTTTATTGAAGATTATTTGTATGGATGTTTATCAGGTCCTTGAGGTCAGGGGTTCTTAATTTGGGTCCATGAGTCACTTGGCAGTTCCAGGATAGGCTTTGGGAGGTCTGGTAACCTCCTGAAATGGAATGCATTTATTATTGTTGCCTTTTTGGATTTGAGATGTAATTCATGCTTCTTCTGAAGTCCCCAAATTATGGAAATATTGTTAAAAATAAAAGTTCTTCAAAATCCATCTATCTCTGAGCATAGACTGCTGGATTTTCCTTTTTTTTTTTTTCTTGAGTTGGAGTCTCACTCTGCCACCCAGGCTGGAGCGCAGTGGCATGCTCACGGCCATTGCAGCCTTGACCTGCTGGGCTCAGGCAATCCTTCTACCTCAGTCTTCCAAGTAGCCGGAACTACAGGTGCATGCTACCATGCCTGGCTAATATTGTAGAGACAAGTTCTTACCAAGTTGCCTGGGTCTCGAACCCGTGGGCTCAGGCAATGCACTTGCCTCCGCCTCCCAGAGTGCTGGGATTATAGGCTGGGCCACTGAACCTGGCCTCCTGTCTTATAATTTTTTCCCTATACATCCAATGTGAGCACATTTGTGTTTTTCTTGCAGAGGCTTCAAAACTTTCAGCAGAGGCTCACAGGAGTCTGAGACTCCCAAAGAGTTTACGAGCCACCGTCCAGGACTGTGAGTGCCTGGGGGGCGAGGGATGGGCGGGCACATGTTCTCTTCTCCTACCTCCCTCCCCTGGCACATTGCATAGAGCTGTGCACACAATAGACACTCAGTGTGCAGTGCTGAGCAGATTCCAGATGACAGAGAGAATGAGAATAACAGCGGCTGCCTCTTGCTGGGCCCTTTGTCTGTGCCTGATACCATGCCAGGCTCCTCATACGCCTCGTCTCATCTCCTCCACCCAACAACTCTTGGAGGAAGGGGTAGTTATCCCCCTTTCACACATAAGGAGACTACAGCTCAGAGAGACTCAGTCACCTGGCCAAGGTCACACAGCTTGAAGATGGCACATCCGGAATTTGCACCCGGGTCTGTCAGACTTGAGCCCACCACCTCCTGGATGAAATGCAGCTGGGATCTGCCCCACCTTCCTCCTGGCATATTCCGCCGTGCTGCCTCCTTCCCCAGGTCAGGCTCCTCAGAGCTGGGATGGGCTCCCTGGGGCTCGTCCTTGCTCAGGCTCAATCACGGCCTGTGGTTCTTGGTGACTGGCTTCTGGCCTCCCTCCCAACAGAACCGGGGAGGCCCACCAGGGAGGGAGGACAAAAATGGGTCGACAGGGAGGTAAGGGGAAGCACGGCGGGAGCTCCAAGCCTCCTCGGTCACCTCCTCTGCTGACAGCTAGAGGCTGTCCCCAGGCTGTGGCCAGGAGCACTAGCCAGGAGGGCTTTCCGCTGTGCCAGGACAAAGGACTCCACCCAGCAGTCCAAGTCCTCCATGATTGGCCCTACTTCCAGCCCCCTGCTCCCTACATGCCAGCTACAAGGACTTATTTACTTTTGTTTTTCTCTCCACCCAGAGCACCTTCTCCTCTTCCTCTCTGTAACCAGATCAAATGCTGCCTCCTCTGTGAAGCCTGCCTGCGTTCCTCCAGTGGAGACCTTGTCCTCTCCCTAGGCTCCAGGCTCCTGCAGCCCTATCTCCACACATGTTCTTACGGCCCCACTGTCTGTGTAGCTTTTCCCACTTGTACCAGGGCTCCCAGATGCACATGCCCACAGCCTCCTGCCAATTCTTTCTGGAACACTCTGCTGCCAGTGAGGGCTTGCTTTATACTCTTCCCCAAGAGGACAGAGGCCATGTCTGTCTTGCTCATGCTGAATCCCAGGGCCTGGCACACAGTGGGCGTTCAATCAATGCTTATGGAATCAGCGATACCATTGCTCCTTTCCATGCCTTCTTTTTCTCTCCCGATCTGTTTGGGGTCTTGAATGTCTTTGAGAATTTGATGAAAGCTACAAATCAGCTCCTTGAAAAAGCATTCCTGTGTGTGCACATTCCTATATTCCACAGATAATTTTGGGATGTCCACAGGCCCTTGGAAGCTCTAGGGGTCTGTAAACCTCCAACTATGAGCCCTGACGCTAGAATGATGGCTCTGAAGTACTTATGTGAAGGTGGGATACAGTAGATGCTTAATAAACACTGAACATACAGTCAGTGTGGATTTACCAGGTACCAGGTCCTGTGCTTGGCACGTTACCGGTTTTGATCCAAGTAACCCTCCCAGCAGTCCTACCATCAAGTGCTACCATCGGGTGGAGCCTGACTGTCAGTATTTGACTGTTTCTGGCCCACAAAAACAACAATGTCATTTGCCACAACCTAATATGATGCCTGTTTTTCAGACGGGGAAGCTGTGGCATAAGAAAGGTTAAAGGACCCGCCCAAGGGGATGCGATCATTGCTAACGGGTGGCAGAAGCGGGTTTGAACCCACTTGTAATCACCTTCTTCTGGGCGCTTTCCTAGCCTGTCCTGGAATGGAAGGTGAAGTCCCCATGGCGAGAGCCTGGCATAGGACCCGGCTACTAGGAGGCTAGTGGGATGAGGACCCCTCCAGGCAGAGTCTACAGAAAATACTGGGCTGTTGTTTGGATGAGTTATGGCCATCAGGGCCACCGACTGTCACCCTGAACCCAAACGGGACATTCACAATGAAGAGGAAGGAAGAGGAAGCAGGTGTGCAGCGTCCTGGCTTTGAATTCTGGGACCACCGCTGATGCTGGTCACAGATAAGCTGTGTTGTGAGTCTGAACCCAGATTGACTGACCGCCGTGTTGATCCCTCGGGCAAGCTGCTTCACCTCTGTGCCTCACTGTTTTCACCTAACAAATGGGTACAGTAAGCATTACCTCCTTCATGAGGGGATTGCAGGATTAAATGAGAGAATCTTTGTAAAGGGCTTGGTGCAGTAGTGGGCAAACAAAGTGCCTAACAATTGCTACCTGTTGTAAAGAAGAGCTGATTATTGTTAAACATTATTATTTTTAGAGACAGGGTCTTGTTCTGTTGCCCACGCTGGAGTACAGTGGTGTGATCGCAGTTCACAGCAGCCTTGACCTCCTGGGCCCAAGTGATTCTTTTGCCTCAGCCTCCCAAAGTGTTGGGATTATGGGTGTGAGCCACCATGCCTGGCTAATTAAAAAAATTATTCTTTGTAGAGACAATGTCTCCCTATGTTGCCCAGGTTGGTCTCAAACACCTGGCCTCAATCCTCCTGCCTCGGCTTCTCAAAATGCTGGGATTGCAGGCGTGAGCCACTGTGCACAGCCTAAGTATTATTACAAAGAACTTTAGTATCCACGAATTCATTGAATCCTTAAAACCCCGTGAAAGAAGTATCACTCCTGCCACTTTCCAGATTCAGATGCCAAGACTCAGAGAGATTCGATGGTTTCCTTGGGGTCACACAGCCGGCCAGTTTGACAGAGCAGGGATGAGAAACCAGGTCAGTCTCTCTGGCTCCACATCCTGACATTGCAGCACCTGCTGAGTGACAGGACACAAGAGCCTGTGTGGGTGGCCACAAGCCAGGCACACACCTCTCTGGGCCTCAGTCTCCTGTCCTGGCCACACAGGGTGGCTGGGTGGACACAGGCCTGGCGGTGCTTTGAAAAGAACAAAGTCCTGCTCAGAGCTAAGGATGCAGGGAGTAGGAACTCAAGTTCTAAAATGTGTTGATTGATGAATGAGGCTGGAGCCCTGGTTTAAAAATATATCTCACCCGTTGTCTTGCTCCTGACTCTCGCTCCAAATAGGGGTGTGCCCTGCAGTTCCAGTGACGAAGCCTGCGAGCCTGCCTATTTGCGCTTAGTAGAGTGTAGACAGCATGAATGACTCAGAGTGTGGCTCCAGAGCCAGACAGCCGGGGTGCATACCCCCTTCTCCCTCCCTGAGCAGCCGTGCCATCTCCGTGCCTCAGTTTCCTCCTCCTCAAAGTGGGATCGTGTGAGGATTAAATGAATAAACACACGTAGAGCACGGAAACATAGCATGGCATACGTAGTGCTCTCAGCTGCATCTAGGCTCATGATTTGATTACCTGGGGACTAGATGACATAATTTATGACTTATTTTTAAGGTACAGGTGATTTTCATTTCTGTGTAGTTAAGCGTGTTCACCTTTTTCTCATGAGCTATCTGTTGTTTTTATACTTAGAAAGTCCTTTTCCATCACCACGTCTGTTAAATAGTCACCTAAATTATCTCCTAGAAATTTGAACAGTTTAATTATTTTTTTCGCATGTATGCCTCCAAACTATTTTTTTTTTTGAGTCAGGGTCTCACTCTGTCACTCAGGCTGGAGTGCAGTGGCATGTTCACAGCCTACCGCAACCTTGACTTCCTGGGCTCCGGTGATCCTTCTACCTCAGCTTCCCGAGTAGCCGAGACTACAGGCACACGCTACCCGCTGGCTAAGTTTTTGACTTTTTGTAGAGGTGAGGGCTCAGTGTGTTGCCGAGGATGGTCTTAAACTCCTAGGCTCAAGTGGTCCTCTCGCCTCAGCCTCCCAAGGTGCTGGGGTTACAGGCGTGAGCCACCGCACCCAGCCTCCAAACTATTTTTAAGCCCTGGAACTTTTACTTCAAGTCGTCTTGCCCCGAGGCCTAACTTCTGGAACTCCTTGCCTCTGCCCCTTCTCGCAAACCCCACACCCAAAACCCACAGCAAATCTAGTGGCTCTACTTTCCTACACTGTCGGAGTCCAACCACTTCCCGCTGCTTCCACCCCTGCCACCTGGTCTGACCCCCATCATGTCTTCCCCAGACCCTTCCAACAGCCTCTTCACTGGTCTCCCTGCACCAGCCCCTTCAGTCCGTTCTCCAAACAGCAGCCAGACGTCCTGCCAAGACTGTAACTTGGAGCTCAGAACCCTCTAGCCTTCCCCATTCACTTAAGTAAAGGCCAAGGCCCTGCCACGGTGGCAAGAATCTGCACGTCAGGGTTCCCTCAGACCTCCCCCCAACCCCCCACTCCAGTCATACCAGCCTCTCTACAGTCCCTGAAACCTGCCAGGCACACTCAGGCCTCAGGGCCTTTGCACCAGCTGTTCCCTCTGCCTGCAATGAATGCTCCCCCCCCCACCTCTGTATCCTTGTTCAAATAAAACCCTCTCAGTGAGGCCAACCCCAACTGCCCTATTTAGAAACACAACCCTGATCCCCACAATTCTCTCTCCCATAGCACTTTCACCTTCGAACATTCTACATGCTTTACACATTTATGACATGTATTTTTTTTCTTTTTTTAATTCCTGGCCCCTCCTGCTAGCATGCAAGTTCTTCAAAGGACGGGATATTTGGTTTGTGTACTCAGGTCTCAGGTCTCCCCAGCACCTAGAACAGCGCCTGGCACACACACACAGCAGGCCCACGACAGCCCTTGTCGCATGGGGGGGGGTGTGATGATAGTCTTCCGTACCTGGAGGCAGCCACCTGTGGAACCCTGGGGTGGCCACTGGGTGCAGTTTGAGAATGTACATCGGATCCACTTAGAATCCCTTTTTGCTGAGTGCGCTGAAGCAAGCACGAAGCTTCCCTCTGGCCCCACTCCCAACAACTAGCTCTGCCAAGGCCAGATGCAGAGAGGAACCTATGATCTGCTTTCCCCTCTGGCCGTTTGGGAGGGGACATCTGCTCTGGGGTATGTGTAGCACATACCTGGCCTGACATAGAGTGAGACAGTGGGGGAAACGGGGGGCTGGGCGAGAGGAAGCAGCCACCAGAGCCTCACCAGGAGGAGCAGGGGTCTGGAGCTGCAGAGTGAGAGGGAGGGTGAGGGAGCAGCAGGAGTGGAGGGAAGGGCCCCACTGCCTTTCTCTCTCGCTTCCTGGCCAGATCCTGGCCCTAGCCACCTCATTCCTTCACCTCTCCTCATTCCTGCCACTCATTGGTTTATCCTGCAGACGTGTAGCTAGTGCCTGTTATGTGCTGGGCATCGTGACGGCACTGGGACAGGGTGGCGAGTGTCAGATGCGACTCCAGGTCTCCTTCCCCCCCAAATGATGGGGAGACAAGGAAGCAGGCGTCACAGCGTGCCTGGGGAGAGGGGCCTGTGCCAAGCAGGCGAGGGCCTGACCCAGGGCGGGGCGGGGCCAGGGAACGCTTCTCAGAGGGGTCTGCAGGGGCAGGTGAAGACTAGGGAGACGGTGCTCCAGGCAGAGGGAACCGCCTGTGCAAAGGCCAAGAGGGGAGAGTGAGAGCTTGGCACATCCGGGCTACCGCCTGACATTCCATCTGGCTGCAGCGTGGCAGAAGCAGGTGGAAGAGGGCTCGAGAGGCCACTGGGGAACCGACAGTGAAGGACTCAAGGGCACCTGCCGCAGTGGGGTGTGTACGTACTGTGGCCACTGGTGTAGTGCTGCAGCTTGTCGGTGTACTCCGAGTCGGCACGCTCAAACCCCCGTCTTCTGGAACAAGAGCAAAGGGCTGGAGCCATCTGGAGGTGCCCAGGGCACTGGGAGCCATAGCAGGTGACAGGGAGAGGGCAGGCAGGCCCCAGAAGCCATGTCCCTGCCGGAGGGCTCCCTACCCACCCCTTCTGGCGCCACGGGTCCCTTCCCACCTCTCCCACCTCAACTCCAGCCTCCCTCTTTCCCCTGTCCTGTCTCCAGCCACGCCCCTTTCAAAGAGCAAAGGCATCTTCCAGCCAGGGCTTCTGGGCTCAGAAACCCCAGGGTCTTCTGTGCCTCTAACCGTCTGGCCCCGTATGCTCTGAAGCAGGAGCTTTTAGAGGAAGAGTCTCTCTCCGCCTTGTGCCCAGAGGAGGGAGGTCGGGAGCTGGTCCCACCACCCTGCCTTCACTTGTGCTGTGCTGGCCACTTGGGGTGCCCTTTCCCTCCTCCTTCTCCTCCTGAGGCCTCCTAAGTCTTTCCACCACCTCCGCCAGGGGGCCAGAACTTGTGCAGAAAACAGGTGACCTGTGCCCCCTCCACCATCCCCAAAGCTCCCTGCGCCCCGTGGTCTCTCTGGCCCGCTGTCCCAAGATGCCCCCTCATGCAGAAGTATTCGGGCCTCAGTGACCACCCCTTTGAACACGGCTTGTCAAGGGCAGTGCCCAACCCAAGGCACAGGCTGTCCCTGGTGGTGTCTAGGACGCGGGAAGCCACACAAGGGTTTCCAGGCCCACCTGCCTCTGGCAACTGTGGGGTGCCTCCCCTGTTCCCCACACTCCTCAGTGGCTGAAGGGTGGGGAAGACCTGCTCCAGACAGCCCGGAGCGGCCAGGGGCCCACCCACCTGTTACACACGAGGGCGATGACAACCACGGCGATGAGGAAGACCAGGCCGGCGGCCGAGGAGCCAATGATGAGGGGCAGCTTTTCCTGGATGCTCGTCTGGTACTCAGCTGGGGAGGAAGCACAGGGGCCGTTCTCAGCCTGGCTCTGGGGGTCCTGAGCTTGCCTCCCAAACCTGCCGTTCTGCTGGTCTCCTGGGGTCTGACCCTGCCTCTGACAGGATACCTGTCATGTGCCCATGGGGGGAATGAGCTGTCACTCACTCCCAAGCGACCTTGGCCCAGTCTGTGAACTGCTCCCACCCTCGATTCCTCATCTGTAAAATGGGCATTGTCCCCACTTCTCAATGTTGATGGGAAAATCAACAAAAATAACAGCGGACACACACACAGGCAGGAAAAAGCAGGGACTCTGAAGCCAGACGCCCTGGGTTTGAGTCCTGAAGGTGTGTGCACTCTGGCAAAGTGGCTTACATTTCTGTGCCTCAGTTTCCTTATCTGTAAAGTGGGGAGAATAATAGTTCCCATCTCACAGGACTGCTGTGTGAAGGGCTCAGACCCACACCTGGCACAGAGCAAGCACTGAACACATTTGAACTATCATCGTTATTGAGCGTTTTACGTGTCTGTCACTGTGCTACGAATGTCACGCATCTCGAAGTCCTATGCAATACTTTCTATGACTACTCCATTTCACAGATGAGGAAATTGAGCTTAGTGAGGTCATAATTTGCCTGAGGCCACACAGTTAGGAAGTGGCCCCAAAGTCAGCATTTGAACCCACGTCTGCTTGGCCCAAGGGCAGGGCTTATGTGAGGTAATAGGCAAGATGCACTTGCCACTTGCCTGGCCCTTGGAAGCCACTTGGTACACACATTCTCAAGGCCATCAACACTATAATTGATGTAAATTTTATTATTTCTGCTTCTCTTCTATCTCCCTGATCAGAACAGGAGTGTGCCGAGGTTGGGCGTGAGGTTAGCACTGGGTCCTTCACATGGTCTGGGAAAGGTCAGGGCCCCAGCACACATCTACTGAATGAATAAAAAGAGAGGCCAGGCGTGGTGGCTCACCCCTGTAATCCTAGCACTTTGGGAGGCTGAGGTGGGAGGTTTGCGTGAGCCCAGAAGTTCAAGACCAGCCGGGCAACAGAGCAAGAACTCATTTCTACAAAAGTAAAAAGATTAGCTGGGTGTGGTGGCCTGTGCCTGTAGTCTCAGCTATTCAGGAGGCTGAGGTGGGAGGATCGCCTGTGCCCAGCTGGTTGAGGCTGCGGTGAGCCGTGATCATGGCACTGTACTCCAGCCTGTGTGACAGAGTGAGACCCCGACTCAAAAAAAAGAAAAGATCTGGGCTAGTTCCCAGTGCCTTGTCAGTGACATTTGTCCAACATGGACAAGGGCTTAAAGAAGTGAAGAAAGTTGCCCGAGAAAGGGGGAGTTTTACCTAGGAGGTGAGTGCAGGGAGGGTGGTGGAGCCCTGCAGGGGATTTTTGTGACAAGACAGGAAGTTGGGAGCCTCTAGAATGTTCATCCAGACAAAGGCCAAGTCCCAACCAGTGGCAGACATCCATGCTAAGAGGGATGCTGGAATCTGGTCACAGGAAGCTTGAGCCTGGAGCTTGGCTGACTGGTGGAAGGGTCCCAGACTCACAGCAGTGACAACCATGACTTGATTACTATCTGCTGGGTGCTAACTATGTGTAGGACCTAGTGTGGGGGGAGCGGGGGGCTGTGCTAGGCCCCTCCTTCTCACACTACTTGATAATGATGGCGTGATGATGAGAGCATTATTATCACCCTGATTTATGGGTGAGAAAACTGAGGGTCAGAGAGGTAAGGCCTCTTGTTCAAGGCCACACAGGCATGAATCAGCAGTGATATCCCCATCTATCTGGCTTCAGGGCTCACACTCTTTAAACTATGATGCTCCTCAAAGACTATTAGAACAGGGATGGTGCTTAGAGACCATGTCATCCCAGAGTGGGAAACATATAGCACATGGGCTGCAACCTTCCATTCCTTGCCTGAGTCAGACATGATTAATCCAACCCAGAACTTCTTCCTGCTGAACTCAGATGCAATTCATTGAAGTTGTTTATGGATAAAATATGTTTACAGATTGAATACAATGCTTTCACCTTATAGATGAGAAAAATTTGGACCAGGGAATGCTCAGAGTCCTGGGAAAGGAGGTAGCCTGGCTGACAGCATGGTAACAGAGGAGTCTGCATCTTTTCTGGGCCACAGACACAGGGCCCCTCTATGTGCCTGTGCACAAAGTTTCAAAACCAGGAGAGAGGGAGGGCTGACATCTGGAAGGCGGGGTGCTGTTCCCACTTGCAAGAAGCGCTTCATAGGAATGGTGGCCCTCAAGTCTGCTCTGTTTGCAGGGTCAGCACCCTCCTCTTTGCTCTGCTCACCTTCTGTCATGGTCTGGAAGTACATTTTGCCGCTGTAGCGCCCGTAGCCTGCCACGGTGCGTGCCCGCACCTGGAACACATAGATGGCGCCGGCTTTGAGACCCTGCACGGTGACCGTGTTGGTGGGGCTTTTGATGGCTGTGGCGTTGTACTCACTGAGCTCCTGCAGGGAACAGAGAAGACACCTGATGAGGGGCTGCCCACAGTGGGCCACAGCCCACTGCCTGTTCCTGCCACTTTGGGATGGGTCTGGTTGCTGGGTAAACATCTGTGGCTCCCAATTCTTCACCCCCCATCCGTGGTAGAATGACACACCTATGCCTTGTGCCATGTGACTGCAACACTGCTCCCAAGGCAGGCAGAGTATATTTCTCTGCCTCATGGATGCTGGATTGTCTGTGTGACTTGCATTGGCCACTGGAACATTCTGGTGGATGTGACATAGGTGTGCTTGCTGATCTGGTCTGGCCTCATGTGTGCCTGCCACCTTCCATGAGATGGGCCTGTCTTGGGTAACAGCTTGCTACAGATGAGAAACAGGTAGAGACCCTGACCCACCTCCTAGGCTGAAACAGGGCCGCCCCAGATGACCCACAGACAAAACTCATGGGCAAGAAAAATAGCCACTTGCTGTTGTAAGTCATTGGATTTGGGGGGACTGTTTGTTCTGCAGCATTATCTCAGCAACTGCTGACTGATACACACATATTGACTGAGTGATACACTGGGGACTGGGGACTTGAGTTCTTGGAGCCAGCGGAGGGAGGGTCCACTCTAGTCACGTCTGCATCCCTCTCCCTGTCTGATACCTTGATGGGTTAAGTGGAAGGACCTCCTTCAGCCTCAGTGCACTTGGGTGAGGCAAGCACTAAGGCCCATAAAGGAAAATGACACCTTTGCCTCTCTCCTGCCCCATCCCCAGTCACACATATCAGTTGGTGGCTGCTTTGGGATGCAAAACCAGCTGCTTGCATGGAGCCACCTCTACTGTTCATGCCTTTGGGGGACCCAGGACCTAATGTCTCCTCCTTTGAGAGATACAGAACACCAATCCTGGCTACCTGAGCACGGCCCAGGGGACCCAGGAGTCTGGGACAGGACCAAAGCCTGGCTGCCGCAGTAGCAGTGCAGATGTGGTTGGATCAGACTCAGAGGAGGCTCCTTACGGCACCTGTCAGCCACCGGGCAACCCTTCCCCAGTACCCTCTGCACTAGGCCCGGGCTGGGCACTGGGATCCCATGGGGGGGGTTATGCCATAGGCCCTGGCCTTGGAGAGCTCAGTCCAGAAAAGCAAACAGAGTGAGGCTCATGAACCTCTTTGAGGAGCTGATGGGAATCTGTGAACCTCAGAAAAATGCACACCCAGCCTTACACGCTGATCACATGTACAGCACGGAATGCACAGAGCTCTGGAAACCCTCCTGCAACAGTGGCGGTTCAGTGTGAACAACATTGCTACAGGCGTTGGAGTATGAAGGTTAAGATCACAAGCTGGAGCCAGACTTCCAGGGTTCAAGTCCTGGCTCCACTGCTTATTTCCTGTGTGACCTTGGGCAGGCTCCCTAATTTCTCTGTGTCTGAAAAGTGGGTATAGTCATAGTAGCTTCCTCACAGGGCTGTCTGGAGAAGAAAATGACTCAGTATGTATACAGTGTTCACCCTAGTAGGGTGAGCAGTTCTCAATCCAACTGCAAGTCATTGGAGTTGTTTATGGATAAATGCATAAACAAAATGGATAAAATATGTTTACAGATTGAATACAATGCTTTCACCTTATAGATGAGAAAAATTTGGACCAGGGAATGCTCAGAGTCCTGGGAAAGGAGGTAGCCTGGCTGACAGCATGGTAACAGAGGAGTCTGCATCTTTTCTGGGCCACAGACACAGGGCCCCTCTATGTGCCTGTGCACAAAGGTTCAAAACCAGGAGAGAGGGAGGGCTGACATCTGGAAGGTGGGGTGCTGTTCCCACTTGCAAGAAGCGCTTCATATGGATAAGATATGTTTACGGATTGAATACGATGCTTTCACCTTACAGATGAGAAAAACTTGGACCAGGGAATGTGAGTGACTTGCTCAGAGTCCTGGGAAAGGAGGTGCCTTGGCTGACAGCACGGTAACAGCGGAATCTGCATCTTTCTGGGTCAAAGACCCAGGGCCCCTATATGTGCCTGTGCACAAAGGCTTTCCAAGAGATGAGGGGCATGTGACCTGGTCCAGGTGGGGGACTGCCAGGTGAAGTCAGAGAAAGCTCCCAGGTGAATGGAGGATACTGGAATCTTAAAGAACAAATAGGAGTCATCCAGGCAAAGGGCGTGCCTGACAGAAGGAGCAATGGCTACCAGAGCAAGGAGGTGAGAACGGTTCAAGGTGTGGGGGCTGGAGAGGGGCTGACCTGTGAATGCATCTCTACCACCCCCATGCCAGGCAAGTGTGGGGCAGCAGCAGATAGGAAGTCTCTTGTGCTGAGCCAGATCATCTGCCTCCTCCTCCCAGTCACATGTGTCTCTCCCTTCTCTGAGCTCCAGAGCACTTGCTGTGGGGGCTGTAGGAGGGGGTCTCTGGCACCGCTCCTCGTCCTGGGCTGAGTTGCCTCGCCTCTCACGCCCTTGAACATAAGCTTGTGAGGGCGGGCCTGTGTGTGTTCCCCTGAGCCACATGCAAGATCCCTCACACAGGTGCTTCCTCAGTGTCCACAGGGAGAAGGCTGATGCCTTTGTCCAACATTCCAGACCCTTCACAATTCACTTTTGCAGTTTCTCCTGTCCCATCCCCAGTGCTCTCCCGGTTCCTGCCATCCCCAACTCTTTCCCGCTTCCGTGGTAATGCTGCCAGACTGAGCTAACTCAAGCATGGGATACTGTTCAGTTAGATTTCAGATGAACAACAAATAACTTTTTTTTCTGAGTTGGGGTCTCAATCTGTTGCCCAGGCTGGAGTGCAGTGGTATCATCATGGCTCACCGCAGCCGTAACCTCTTGGGCTCAGGTGATTCTTTCTGCTTCAGCCTCCCGAGTAGTTGGGGTTACAGGTGTGTGCCACCATGCCTGGCTTATTTTTTAATTTTATTTTTTTGTGGAGATGAGGTCTCACTATGTTGCCTAGGCTAGTCTCTGACTCCTGGGCTCAAGCAATCCTGTTGCCTTGGCCTCCTGAAGTGTTGGGATTACAGGTGAGAACCACTTCATCTGACCCAAATAATTTTTTCTTAGTTGCCGTCTCACTCTGTAGCCCAGGCTGGAGTACAGTGGCATGCTCGTGGCCACTGTAGCCTTGATCTGCTAGACTTAGGTGATCCTTCCGCCTCAGCCTTCCAAGTAGCTGGAACCACAGATGTATGCCACCATGCCCAGATAATTTTTTTTAAAATTTGTTGTAGAGACGAGGGCTCACCAAGTTGTCCAGGCTGCTCTTGAACCCCTCGCCTCTACCTCCCAAAGTGCTGGAATTACAAGTGTGAGCCACTATGCTCGGCTTCCAAATAATTTTTAATATACATAGATCCCATGCAATATTTGGGATATACTTACACTAATTAAAAAAAAAAAATTTTAATGTGTCTTGTGTCCTATATTTTATCTGGCAACCCTACCTCCCCAGGCACTCTGAGCTTTGGCAAGCACTGTTGCCCTGTCTGAAATATCCTTTCCTCATCTGTCTGGCAGTTTCCAACTCATCGTTCAAGACTCAGCACGCGTGCCATCTCTGTCCGGGAGACTTCCCAGATGTGCCGGCTGAGGTTGTGGGTCCACTGTTCTGATAGGGTCCACCTATTGTTCTGATATGCATGTCCATCTTCTCTAAGGATGTGGGTTCTCTGATGGCAGGGACCATGTCTTGTTCACATCTGGACCCCTAGGCTTGGCACACAGTAGGTGGTGACTACCGACACAACAAATGAACATCCACCTAGTATTCAGAGAGCCACAAAACCTGGGCTGCAGTTCCAGGATTGACCACTAGGTTCCGCCATCCAATGTGGGATCTGGTCGGCGAGAAAAGGGGTTCAAATCCACAGACTGGGTGGGTGCCCACTTAGGGAGGTAAGAGTTTTAGGTTCTGGATTATACGAAAGAGACGAGAGGTGACTGTCGGTGCCATAGGTAACTCAGGAGACCAAGGAAACCAAGCTGAGCAGATCCTGTCTCTAAATCCAGACCAAGGATGGAGCTGTTAAAAATCCTGGTTCTCCCACTTAATTGCATGTGACCTTGGGAACGACCCTTCCCTTCCCTGAGCCCCCATTTTTTATTCCAGAAGATGGACCAACGAATGCCATTTAGGGCTGTCGCCAACTCCCTTCTGTCTCTCCTCTCTGGAGTACCTTCATCTGAACAGTGATTAAGCACCGAGGGGTGATGGGAAGAAATTCAGCATGAAATCCACTAGTCATCCTTAATTTGAGCCCTTATCTAGAGACTCAGGATCACCGAGGCGCTGGGTGGGTGGCAAGCCTTCTGAGCCTCAGTTATCTCATCTCTAAAGGGGGATAACACCAGCAGGTACTACACAGGGTGGTGGTGGAAATTCAACAGAAAAATATGGGTAACGCTTCTGGCACAGTCCCTGCACACACAGGACTTAATAAATGTTGGTTATCATCATCACTGTATCATCAACACACTGCAGGGTAAGCCCTCACCAATGTCCAACAAATGGATGAATGAATGCACCTGTGAATGAACGAGTGGACAAAGCCGTCCAGGGACTGGGTGACAACCTGAAGAAAGCTGGCCTTCCACAGTATCCCCCCTCCCCCAGCCTTTGCTCCTGCTGCCTGGAGTGTCCTTCCCTTCGCTTCTGCCCGGTAGACATTTCTGTTGAACAAACACTGAAATCGATGTGGCCTACAAGGGCCCATCGACCACCCGCGGCCTCATGAATGCCTCTTTGCCTTGAGCTCTTGTGGGTCCGGGGAGTCTGGCCCCATGTGCTTTGGGGTAGCTGCCCAAGGCGGCCAACTCCCCCGGGGACGCTGAAGCCATGGCCAGGCCTGGGGGTGCAGCACGGCTGACACCATTTGTCACTGGCATCCAGAAGACTTTCGGCAGAGGGGCTGTGAGCGCTGGGCTCTGGGCAGGCTGGGAAGTCCCTCTAGGACGGACAGGAAGGGTGGGTGGAGGTGGTGAGGGGCCTGCAGGCCTGGGATGCGCCTGCCCTGCCCAGGCAGGAAAGAAATGGATTCAGGCTCCAGGAGGATCCCGCACTGGGTGAGCTGGCCGTGGACTTGTCAGAAGAAATCTCACCAAGGGCAGCCCAGCTGTCCACCTCAAGGGCGGGGTGGGAGAGGTGGTGGCTGGCGTGTCATGGTCTTATCTGGGAGGTCAGGGGTTCTCCTCTGATCCTTCTGACAGTGCCTCCCCACCCCTTGACGTCCCCCTGGGTTCTAACTTCTGCCTCTTGGTCCCTCTGTGCCTTCCTGGCCTTCCGCCAGCAAGCGCCACACCTATACCCTCAAATCATACCCCCACACCCTACATCCACCCCAGGAGAGGCATGCCAGTCCCTGGAGTCACCCTTCACACCTCCCTGCCCCCTGGGCTTTAAAGCGCTGAATCTGTTGCATCCGCCACATCTGCTGCCACTCCCTTCCCTGTCCATGCCACCCGGTGTCCCATGAGAGCCTGCTCCCTGAGTCGCCCGGTCCCCCGGCAGTCTGTTCTTCACACAGCCAGCTCCACAGAGCTTTAAAGCAATCTGAGTCCGACTGCCTCATTCCAGAACCTTCCCATCATATTTTAAATGGAATCCAGACTCACCACACCCAGCCTGGCCTCCCCCTCCAGCCTCCTCCCCTGCTGCTCTCTGCTCAGGTTGCTCCTGCCACACTGGCCTTCTCTGTTCCCTGACCCCGGCATTCCTGCCCCAGGGCCTTGGAGCCCACTGTTCCTGCCGCCTGGAGTGACTGTGCTCCTCATGTGTGTGTCAGGTGACTTCCTGGCATCTTCCCAGGCTCAGCTCAAATGTCACCCAAGGCAGGCTTCCCCTCACCCATGCTGGGACTGTGGACCCCCCGTGTGTGGGGATATTTGCTGGCCCTTCTGTGGCTAGTGTCACGACCCCTTGTCTCATAGCTAGCAGTGTCTGAGCCTGTTGTTTTTTCCTGGACTGTGACGTCCCTGAGGCCTCCAGGCCACCCGGTCACTCTCGATATTCCTGGTACCCGGCGTCCATCTCCCCACTGGCAGATGCCAAGCTGTCCCTCTCTGCACCCCAGGCTTGAGACAGAGGCCGACAGAAGCAGGGCCATGTCTCATCCCAGATGTGTCTCAGGCTGCCCTCAGCCCTGCCCTCTCTTGCCATTTGGCCTGAAATTCTCCACTGCAGGGGCCGGGCCTGCCCTGGGCTGGCCCTGTCTACCTCTCAATAGCCACCCCAGAGGCAGCCCTGGGAAAAAAACTGAGAGGCAGGAGAGCCAGGCAAGGAGGGAGAACACAAGTCCAAATCTTTGCTGGGTGCTCGTGGACAGGTTAGCTTCTCTGTGCCTCAGTTTCCCCTCCCATCCAGTGGGGTAGAGTCCCCCTGCGAGGATGGGTGAGATACATGCTTAGCACATCGTGACTGCTCATGAAATGTGAGCAGGCGGCGACCTCGGGGTTGCAGGGCCTGGGGGCCCTGCCACCCTGGCAGGGCCCGGGGAACGCCTGGGCAGTGGTAAAAAGTAGGCCAGAGCCGCTTCCCAGTTCATGCCTCTGCCAGCCTCCCAGGCCTGCCTGCTGCGGCAGGAAGTGGGTCGCAGGCAGGACCCGCACTGGGATTCCTTGTTTCCGTTCCAGTCTTTGGGGACAAACACTTCCAGTTTCATTTAATCACAAAGCTTCTTAATTAGTTTTTTTTTTTTTTTTTGCCTGTCTGAGTTCTATATTGCTGAGCTTTCCCTGCTGGAGACAGCAGAGATGCTAGCTCTGTGGCCTGGGAGCAGCTGGTTCGGCTACCCTGGACACCTGGCTTTTCCCCCTTCGCCGCCCTTCATGGCCCCGTGAGGACTGGGGTCTTCTGGTAGTCACTTCCCGAGCCATCCAACAAACATCTCTTGAGCACTGCCTGTGTGCCAGGCACTGGGGACACGACAGAGAATGGCAAGTTCTCCCCACTCCAGGGACTTACCATCAGGTCAAAGCTGAGGTAGTCAATACTAAATTGTGTGATATTATTATTATTATTATTATTGTTTTGAGTTGGAGTCTCACTCTGTCGCCCAGACTGGATTGCAGTGGCACACTCACGGCCACTGCAGCCTTGACCTGATGGGCTCAGGTGGTCCTTCTGTCTCAGCCTGCCAAGTAGCTGAAACCACAGGCGTGCACCACCCTGCTAGCTAATTTTTTGATTTACCGTAGAGACGAGGTCTCACCAAGTTGCCCAGGCTGGTCTCAAATCTCTGGGCTTAGGCAATTCTCTCACCTTGGCCTCCCAAAGTTCTGGGATTACAGGCTTGCGCCACTGTGTCCGGCCAGGTGATACCATTAAAAAAATTATAATTGTGATAGATGTTATGTAGAAGAATGGCAGGGTACACGAAGGTAAAATGGGGTCTGCACAGGGAGGGAGGGCTTCTCTGAGGAGGTGATATTTAGGCTGAGAGCTGAAAGGCTGAGTTGGGCTGGCCCGGGGGAGGAGGTAAGGGGTGGGAATGGTCTAGACGGTCATCCACTGGTCCAGGCTCCCAGGCTCCAGTCCCCACACTCTTCCTCTCCTGTCCTCAGGCTCCATCTCTCACTTCTCGTATTCATGCACACAACTCACTTGTGCCACGTCTGTGGCCTGCGGGGCAGACATGGCAGCTTGTGGTGCTGCAAGAGAGGGCAGTCCATGGGAGAAGATGGAGGTGACATTGGGAGGGACCCAGGAGATTCTGACAGGGGACTTGGGCATGAGGTCCCAGGGGCTTTTTGTCAAGTGGTCTGCCGAGGCTGAGGCCTGGACCACAGAAAGGGATTCATCCATGTATTTGCCAGTCAGTGCCGACCACGTGTCTCCTGATCACATGTCTCCTTGGAGCCAGGTCTGGGTGTTGGAGAGAGATGGTAGGGGGAGGTGATGCCTGGCCTCTTGGAAGAGCCTGTGGGGAGGGGGAGGGGAGGGAGTTGAGTGCACAGCTGGTTAAGGCTGGGAAGGGTTTGAAGAGCCCCTGAGACCCACCAGAGTGTGTCTGATCCAGCAGTTAATAGAGTATAGGGCTGGACTGGGCCTCAGAAAATGAGGCTCCAGGTGGGGCGTGTGGTTCACACCTGTAATCTCAGCACTCTGGGAGGCCGAGGCGAGAAGATTACCTGAGTCCAGGGGTTTGAGACCAGACTGGGCAACTTGGTGAAACCTCATCTCTACAATAAATCAAAAAATTAACCGGGCATGGTGGCACATGTCTATAGGTCCGGCTATTTGGAAGACTGAGGTGGAAGGATCGCCTGAGCCCAGCCAGTCGAGGCTACAGTGGTTGTGAGCATGCCACTGCACTCCATCCTAGGTGACAGAGTGAGACTCCGACTCAAAAAAAAAAAAAAGGGCAAGCAAGCAGCGGGGCTCCAGCAGCACTGGCTGGAACTGTCTTTACCATGTCACCGTGCTTCCTCTCAGCTTTCCGTCCTTTCCCAGTTCCCAGTGGGCTTGTCCTCAACTAAAGGCCTTCCTGTCAGTCGCTTACTTCTAGTCTGAACAGAAGCCCAGTGACACCCCTTCCCAGGAGCTCCAGCAGCCTCTGTGTCTGTTTGGTGCCTCCGGGAGTAGGTAAGAGAAGTCATCATTCAAAGTAGGGGCTTTCTGGGGCCTCCCCTGTCCAGCCATGCGGGTGGCCAGTGCTCCGTCTACCCTCTGGCCCTGGATGGTGCGGCCCCGCATTCACCTGGCCTGGCACCCTGTCCACCGAGCAGGGCGGACTAGGAAGGAGAGACAGACCTCACCTCTGCTGAAAGTCGAGCGCCGTGCTGGGCACTGGACCCGTCTTTCTCCTTGACCTGCCCAGGCCCCCACGAGAGACAGGTGGTCTCCTCTGCATGAGACATGGATGGGGATCAAGGCTCAGAGGGAGAGAGACACTTGCCCAAGGCCACACAGCTGGTGAAGGATGAAGCTGGGACTTGAACCTGTGGCTCCTCACCCCTAGCCCAGTGCTCCTTCTGTAGCACCAGGGCTTCCGACCTTGGCTCTGAAGGGAGCAGAAGGGCCTGACTGAAAAGCTCGCTGGGAAATTGCCCTCCCCCACAAAGGCACTTGGGTGATGGAAACAGGTGTTTCCATGGCACTGGTGCCCATGGGAGACGCCCCAGCTCCCTCACCTGTGCAGAAGCTCTTGTGAACGCTTTTGAGTTGCTGGGCAGGACAGGTGAGTGACTAACTTCTCAATAAGTGTAACTTTTTGGGAATCCAGTTTTTCACAACATCAAACCAACGAAATCAAGATGAAAGGGATTTTGGTGGGGAAAGGGATGTGGCCGCTGTGCTTTGCTGAGATTGCTGGCTGGATTGCCCCTTCCCGCCGCCAGAAAAGCGAGACTCAGAGAGGTCGAGGCACCCGCCCGAGGTCTCACAGCTGGGAGGAGGGGGGCCAGGTGGGGCGGCAGGTGGCCTGACTCCGAGGCCAGTGCTCTTCCTGCAGCACCCACGGGGCTCACCCTGTGGGAGAGTGGAGCCCCTGGGCCCTGGCCTGGGAGGGGGCCTCCGGGGACCGGGTGCTGGGGAGCCCGGACGCACAGGCACCTTCTCGTAGTATTGCAGCTCGTAGTCCAGGATTACGCCATTGGGCTGGTCCGGCTGGGACCACGACAGGGTGATGCTGTCCACGGTGCGGCTCACCTGGTGCATGATGGACACAGCAGACGGAGCTGGAAGAGAGGTCAAGGGTCAGGGGTCAGGGCAGCATGAGAAGGTGTGGCTTTGGCCCAGCCTCAGAGGTGCCTGGGCAAGTCTCTACCTCCAGGCCTTTGGCTGAGCTGTGCCCTCTGCCTGGGATGCCCTCCCTGCCCTTCCTATGGCCGGCTCCTTTTCCTTCTTCAGGTCCCAGCTCACACTGATCACCCTGGCTAAGGATACTCTCACATGCTGTGCTTCCTCTCAGTCATTATATCAGAAAACAGAGCTGGGCTCGGTGGCTCAGCCTGTAATCCCAGCACTTTGGGAGGCTGAGGTGAGAGGATTGCCTGAGCCCGTGGGTTTGAGACTCTCACCCAGGCAACTTGTCAGGACCTCATCTCTACAGTAAATCAAAAATTAGCCGGGTGTGGTAGTGCACGCCTGTAGTTCTGGATATTTGGAAGGCTGAGGTGGAAGGATGGCAGAGCCCAGCAGGTCAATACTGGGGTGGCCACGAGCGTGCCACTGCACTCCAGCCTGGGCGACAGACTCAACTCAGAAAAGGGAAAAAAAGAAAACAGGACTGAGTGCGGTGGCTCATGCCTGTAATCCCAGCACTCTGGGAGACTGAGGTGGGAGGATCGTTTGAGACCAGGAGACTGAGACCAGAGAGCGAAAGGCAGCTGGCCCAGGCCACACAGCCAGCCTGGGGGAGCAAGTAGGGGACAGAGGGCTCATGCAGGGCTGTGGTGTTGCTGCTGCGCTCTTGTGGGTCACCTTCTGGTGACAGACACTCACTGACAGCTTCTCCAGCCCTGAGGAAGCGTAAGACACATCCAGTCGAGAGAGACTGTACATACTGAATGGTTTATTACTTTTAAACACATTTTGTTAAAAAATAGAGAAGACAGAATCTTGCTATGCTGCCCAGGTTGGCCTTGAACTCTTAGCCTTAAGTGATCCTCCTGCCTTGGCCTCCTAGCTAGCTGGGACTATAGGCACATGCCACTACCCTGGCTAATTTTTAAAAAACTTTTATTTTGTAGAGATGAAGTCTCACTATGTTGCCCAGGCTGACCTTGAACTCCTGGCCTAAGTGGTCCTCCTGCCTCAGTCTCCTGAGTAGTTGAGACTATAAGTGCCACCATACCTGGCTAAATTTTAAAAATCATTTATCTTGTCAATATGGGGTCTCACTATGTTGTCCAGGCACTGGTCTCAAACTTCTGCCTCAAGCAATCTTCCCACTTTGGCCTCCCAAAGTGCTGAGATTACAGGTGTGAGTCACTGTACCCAGCCTGAAGTGTTTAATTGTATGTCATATTCATTTCACCTCAATAAAATCAATCATTCCCCATTCCCATTGGTGCTGTCAGTGTTCTCATGGAAGGTGGTTAGAGGGAGAGACAAGAAGCCAGGGGCTGTGTTTAGTGCTAGAAGGACTCTTAGAAGTAATTTAGTCCAATTCTCTCATCTGACAGATGTGGAAACCGAGGTCTGGAGAGGGCTTGAGCTGCCGAGACACCAAGGCTGGTTCATGCACTGGCCTTTCTGGACTCCTTGTTTCGTAATGCACCTGCCTGCTGTGCTTGCCTCCTTCTCAGATGGGACACACAAGCATCTGTCATGTGTGGTCATGGCCCCAGGCTCTTTACACATGCTTCCTGAGTCGCCTGTTGGCAAGGAGGCAGTCTTAGCCCACTGCCAGGTAAGGCACTGCAACTCGGAGGGGCATGGGACTTCTGAGAGCACAGTCAGTGGAGAGCCAAGATTCACACCCAGGTCTGGGAGCACACAGACCGCAGGAGCCAGGGTTTGAACCCAGGTCTGAGATCACACAGTCAGCGGGGAGCCAGGGTTTGAACTCAGGTCCGAGATTACACAGTCAGCAGGGAGCTGGGACTCGAACTCAAGTCTGAGAGCACACAGTCCACACGGGGCTGGGATTCGAACTTAGATCTGCTGCTCTTCAGAGCAGTGTTGGTCCCGGAGCAGGACTGGCCAGGGATGACCTGGGCTTTCTGGGACTGAAGTTTTCATGGTTCAGGAAGTGCTGGGGACTTGCCAGGAAGGGAGCACCTTCCGCCATTCTCTCTGCTTCCCAGGCAGGTCTGTGACAAGCAGGTGTCCTGTCTCAGCCACACAGGGATGCCTGTGGGCGGAAGCTGGCTCTTCCCAGACCCGAATCCCACTTCTCAAGGGCTCTGAGGGGGCGGGCGTGGGCAGGGGCAGGCCCAGTAGGAGCTGGTGGGGACCTGATGCCAACTGTAGGGTTTGGAGCTTGGAACTGACTTGTCTGTTTTCTACTCTGCTTCCACCTCTGCAGACTGTCCTCTCTGCCCTGCTGCCAACTGGCTGTGTGACCTTAGGTGAGCCATCCCTCTCTGGACCCGGCTTCCTCCTTTGCACTACAGGCCAGGCTGGGAGACCCAAGACCTTGGCTTGAACACTACCTGCCCATCCTGCCCGTGCAGCCCTTGGCCTGGAGCTGGATCGGCCTGGGGCCCAATGCAGGCCTGAGCAGGTCCAGATGCACCTCAGCACCCCCAGGAGTTGTGGAAAGTTGCCCCGGACACTTCAGGTGGGGCAGCAGTGTCCATAAGAGGACTAGACCCCCGTCCAGGGGTCTTGGATGAGCAAGAGAGGGCTCCTTGCCCTGCCAGGCACAGCGGGCCCTTTGGGGTCAGGGACTTGGACATGGGCTCTGGGCAGCGCCTGGTATGTGGTCAGTGCTGTGAGTGTTGACTGATGTCACTTGCCTCGGTGTGCTGAGTGGCTGACTTGCGACATCTCATTCCATTCACTTAACAACAGTGTGGGACGGGGGTTAATATCTGCACTTTGCAGGAGGAAACTGAGGCTCAGAGAGGCACAGTGACCTTCCTGGAAGGGAGCTGAGCTGGGCCCGGAGCCCATCATCCTGTCCCAGCGATGTCCCCTGCCAGGCCTCAGAGTCATCCCCTCTTCTTGTCCTCCTCTCCTGACCCTGTCCCCAGCCCCTGCCCCAGTGCCTTCCCTCCCTCCGGAGCCACCTGTGTGAGCTGCTGAGTGTTCGGTTGTCCTGGATCACCTGAGGCCCGAGCCTCCCTGTGAAACCCAGGCCGCCTGCCCCGCCAGTGGTCAGTTTCCCACTGAAACAACAAAGTCAGTGCCTCTGGACTTTCACAGGCCCAGGCCAATCGGGGGGACTTCTGGTGGGGCCTGGGAAGCACCCCCTACACCTGGCCTCCTCCTAGTTTCCCAGCCTAACTCAGCTAGCCCACAAAGCAGTGGCCACTCAGGGCTGTGTGTGTATGTGTGTGTGTGTGTGTGTGCATGCGCACGCACGCACATGGGACAAGGGGTGCTTAGGAAGCCCAGGAAGATGCTTTAAACTCATCTGCCAGAGATCTGGGAGTGATGCCCCTACCCCTGCCTCCAGGGGCCTTTGCATGAGTCTGGGTGAGGGACCGGGCGAGGCAATCTCCAGGGCTCCTTGGAAGGCTGGGTCCCCTGCCCTGACAGCCAGCCAAGCATGGTTGGTCGGGGGGACATGCCATCACCCTGTGCCACATCAAGGGAGCCCCGGACGCACACGGAGCCCGCAGGCTATTGAGAAGTATTTTGGTTAAGTGTTTTGGTGCTCTGGCTCACCCGTGCTCCACACTGAGACCTGCGGTGCTCTGGCTAGAACGTCCCGCCAGGTCCTGGAACTGCTGCCTGCCTGGTGGTGGGGAGCCCTGTGGGGGGAGCCCCCAGACCTGCCTGCATGCCCCATTCCTCCACTTGTGAGTGTGGCCCTGAGCAGGTTCTTGTAACTTCGCTGAGCCTCAGTTTCCACACCCGTCAGGTGGGTAGCCTCACCTGACTAGGATGCCACGGCTGTGAAAGGGGTGGGCTCAGAGGGTCCGAGTGTGGCTGGCACCCAGCAGGAGAGAGGCAGCATTGATAATTCTTCAGTTCACAGGGCACTGTGATGCCACCGTAGCCGGGTGCTGGGGCTCAGGGGGAGAGTCAGGGGCCTCCCCACTCAGGATTCACTGCTCACGGGAGGAAGCGTATTTTTCTCACCTCAGTGTGCACCTGCTCCAGGCTGTGCACCACGCCAGGCCCTGGGGAAGTTGGAATACTCAGGAGCAGTGTGGGGCTCTGGGGTCTGAACCCCCATTTCAGGACTCGGCCGAGGTGAGCCAGCCCTGAACAGGGATGGGACTGCCCTGTCCACATCCCCCTGTGGCTTCACCTCCCAACAACAAAGTGGCAGAACGTTTCCCCTAGGCTGTTGTACTTTTCAAACCTTAGTGGGCATAAAGATAACCGGACTGTCAAGATTTACACTGCCACCCGCCCCAGAGAGGCTGACTCAGCAGGACTGGGTGGAGCCTGAGAATCTGCATTTCTTCTTTTTTTTAATTGCTCTGTTGCCCAAGGTGGAGTGCAGTGGCACGATCATGGCTCACTGCAGCCTTGACCTCCTGGGCTCAAGTGATCCTCCCACCTCAGCCTCCTGAGTAGCTAAGATAACAGGTGCATGCCAAAATGCCTGGCTAATTTAAAAATTTTTTTTGGAGAGACAAGGTCTTGCTATGTTACCCAGGCTGGTATTGTACTCTTGGCCTCAAGTAATCCTCCTGCTTTGGCCTCTCCCAAGGTGTTGAGACTACAGGTGTGAGCCACTGTACTTGGCCAGAATGTGCATTTTTTTTTGAATCAGAGTCTCACTCTGTCACCCAGGTTAGAGTGCAGTGGCATGCTGCTCACAGCCACCGCAGCCTCTGAGCTCAGGCAATCCTTCCTCCTCAGCTTTCCATGTTGCTAGAACCACAGGCGTGCACCACCATGCCCACCTAATTTTTCTTGATTGATTGTAGAGGCGAGGTTTCACCATGTTGCTTAGGCTGGTCTCAAACCCCTGGGCTCAGGCAATCCTCTCGCCTCCGCCTCCCAAAGTGTTGGGATTACAGGCGTGAGTCACTGTGCCTGGCCCAGAATGTGCAATTCTCACAAGCTCAGAGTGATTTTGATACTGCCGACCACACTTTGAGGATGAGTG